ATGTTTGGCAGAGTGGAGGGGAAGCGAAGGAGAGGAAGACCTTTGGTGAGATGGATCGATTCTGTGACTGGAGCGGTGGGAATAAGTGCGTTTGAGATGGCTAGGTTGGTACAGGATAGAACAGCATTTAGAGCTCTTGTACATAGGGTCACTATGAGTCGCAAGCGACTCGATGGCACATAACAACAACAACAATCTTTCCCATGTTATATACAATTTCTCAAAAATGTTGCTCCTAAGTGCTTAGCAGCATTATCTACCACCATAGCAAGGACATGGAAACAGCCCAAATGTCCATCAGCAAACAACTGGATTGAGAAACTACCGTACATTCACACAATGGAATACTATGCAGCACTCAGCTGGGACTTTTTAAAATGAGAGTAGTTTCTTGGAAGTTGGCCTGAGTCAACTAGTTGAAGAGAGTATTCAGGGCATTTAGACTCATCCAACTAAGGAGCTCTCAAGGCTTAGTGGTAAGAAGTTACACTTACAACTCAAAGACATACTGCTAAAATCCACTACTAAATGTCATTTACTGCCCCTGAAAACCCACTGGCAAGTCAACTATGAGAGTGTTCCTGTTCAACAGTACATAACAATAACTATGAATCTATATGATCCAAATTCTAATCCACTATTACTGAGTTGAGGTGGCTCTGGTGGCCTAGTGGGTGAGAAGTTGTGCTGCCAACCGAAAGGCACCTCGTTCAAAAACCACCAGCTTCTCCTTGGGAGAAAAATGGGCCATCTTTTCTTGTGTGGTTTAAAGCCTTTGAAAACCACCTGGAGGGATAGCTATAAGTCAGTTCCGACTCTACGGCAATGAGTTGAGCTGACTGTTAATTCTGACCGAGAGTGACCCTATCAGATTGAGTAGAACAATGCTACAGTGTTCCCAAGGTTGCAAATCTTTGCAGGAACAGACTCCTCATCTGCTTCCTGCAGTGCAACTGGTGGGTTTGAACTATCAATCTTTACACTAGAAGCCCAACATTTAGCCCCAGTACCATCAGGGCTTCTTGATTCAAATTCTAATGGATCACAAATGCCTCCTTCCAGCTCCAGAACCCCACATTCAGATTCATATACCCATCTGTCTGCTTGTATCTCCACTGGAATGCCTAACCACCATCACTAATTTAGCATCTGAAATGTAACCTCGATTTTCCACCCAAGTGTGTCTTTCTCCATTTTCCCTAACTCAGAAAGCAGGCTTCCCATTAGCCTAGTTACTCAAACCAAAAATCTAGAAGCTTCCTTTGACATTGCTCCGTCTCACATACTTTGGGCACGGGGCCAGGATGGATCAGTCCTTGGAGAAGGCCATCATGCTTGGAAGGGTGGAGGGACAACTCAGGAGAGGCAGACCCTGGATGAGATGGATTGATATAGTAACTAGGCCAAGGGAGTTGATGTGTTGGAATTAGTGAGACAAGCTCAGGACAGGGCAGGCTTGAGAGCTGCTATACATAGGGTCGCTTGCTATAGGTCACAAGCGACTCAACAGCACATAACAACAACAACAACATCCTCATATCTAATCCATCTGCAAAGCTTGGTGATTCACTCCCCTCTTGCCATTGTATATACTAGGAGCACCAGTGGTGTCATAAGTTAACATATTGGACTGCTAACCAAAGGGTCGGCAAAGGAGAGCAAGACCCTCAGCCAGGTGGATTGACACCATGACAGCCGCAATGGGCTCTAGTGTGTCAGGAAGTGTGAGGATGGTGCAGGACAGGACAGGTTCATATCCGCTGTTCATAGTGTCACTATAGCTCATACCCAACAGGGCAGCATCTAACAACAACAACCAAAAGGTTAATGGTTTGAACGCACCAGGTATTTCCAGAAAAAATGGATGATCTCCTCCTGTAAAGATGTAGAACCCCAGAAAACCCGGTGGACGATTCCCATGAATCGGAATGGGCTACGTGGTGGCACATTTGAGCCTGTGTTAGCCCGAGCTGCTGTTACCTTCCAGCTGACTGGACAAGATTCTCCCTGCTTCCTCTCTCACCTCCATTTCTCCACCAAGCACTCCCCTCCACCCCGTGCTTTTAAAGATGTGAATGAGATCTCTAATCTCCCTATGCTTAAAATCTGTTACTTTTTAGGCATTAGGCATAGAATAAAATCAAAAGCCCTTTCCATGGCCTAAAAGCCTCTTCACAATTTAGTTTGTGCCGACTATTTTGACCCTCATCATCCCCTTCTGGGGGACTTCACAGCTGTGAAATGGATATGGCAGTAATAGACGATAATCTACCCTGTACTGAGGGACAGCTATGTGCTTGATCAGCTGCTTCACATACATTACTTCATAGAGGCCTGGCTACAACCAAATAAGATAAGCACTGTTAACCAGTAAGACTATTATAAGCGTATGAGGTCCATGCATAGTAGGTGCTCAAGAAATGTTAGCTGCTCTTCTTTTCCACTGGTTCCAATAGGATAAAAATATAAAAGAAACAAACCTGTAGCCTAGAGACATCTACACTGGACCGAGGGGGAACTGGAGCCAGAACCATCTGTCCTGCGTCCTGGTCTCTCTAGTCTAACCACATGCCTCCAGGGGGGCTGAGGACTCGCTCTCCTGGGGATATTTAGGTTGCTGAAGGAGTTAAGAGGTCGCTTCCCAAACCCCAGCCCTCCCCATCCTTGCATCTGCCCTTGTGGGTTTAATGAGAAATCCAGGCACCTCCTAAGAGACCGTACAAATAACTTCTGGGACGCCACTAACTCATTCAGCAGAGACCCGGAGCTGCTGGCGCTTCAGGAAAGATAAGTGCATGGAAAGAAGGTGGTTTCCTTAGAGTCAGGAGGACAGAAGGATCTTGCGCGGTGAGTGTGAGCTCCGCCCCCACAGCGGCAGAGCCGAAAAAGCCAGGATCCTCAGCCCCTCTCTTCACAATATTTGATTAGGAATGTGGGGGCGGGACCCTGGCCTGGCATAGACACGCACACTCTCAGTAGACACTCTCTTTCTCTCACACACACACAAACTCTCCAGCCCAAAGAGGCCAGGCAGAGGAACGTGGTCACTCTCTCTCTGAAAGTTTCAACTTGAGGTAAGCTTGGTCATTTTGCTTCCATTTTTTACCCTTTGGTGCTCCATCAAGGAAGAGCGAGAGAATAGGGAAGGAGGGGGCAGGGTGAGAGAAATCCTTTTTCATTCCTCTCATCTGGACAGCGACCCCAGGGATGCTGGGGAAGCGCAAAGAGGAGGAAAAGAAAGGGGCTTCAGATTTTCCCCCTTTCTCTCAAATTATTTTATGGTTGTTAGAGAGAACCTCCCATTCTCAGACATGAAAAAGTGAAGGAGCAGATATTTAGGAAGCCAGCTCTCCCCTCCTTTCATTCTAGCTGTGTCCCTGCAACCCTGCAACTGTAGAGAGGTTGTGGTACCTAAATGCTGTGTGTAGGGGTGGGGTGTGCACGCTATTGGGGTGAAGGAGTCAGCAGAGAGGAATGCTGAGAATTGCCCATGTCCAGGGAGCTGTGGATGGAGGCAGGGGTTCAAGCCAGGTTAGAGGAGAGATCCTGGTTTAACTTGCTCAACTCTGAAGGAGTTGAGAAACTCAGAAAGGAGAAAACTCTCGAGAGTGGAGAATGGAAGATAAGCTGTAGGTCCTAAGTAAGCTCCTCTCAACTCACAGAGCATAAGTTCTAGAAATTTCCACATTATAATACTCTGAGCACAGAAGGGTCTCATCACTGGGGGCAAAAGGTCTAAGCATTCTGGAGTAGCATTGCTAGGAGATGGGACTGGGTGATGGGAGAAATAGGATCCTCATCAAACCCTTTCAGCAGGCATGGCTCCTAAAGAAAGGCCAGAGTGGGCAAGGTACACAAACCCTTGGAAAGCTATGTCTTGAAGAGGAAGGTGACTCTTGTCTGCCAAGGTGCCCAGTCTGGAAGGAGAAATGGAGACAGAAGCTCACTATGCCAGCCCGCCAGACAGCCACCTTGGTCCTGCAGCAGCCCAGGCTGTGCATGGAAAAATGTGCAGTTGGCAGTGGGCCGCTCCATCCGTCTTCTCTCCTGGCCAGAGCCAGGGACCAGCCAGCATGCCCAGGCAGTGGGCAGTTGGGTCAGCTTCTCGGAAGCACTGTGGGCTCTTTGTTTGAGGCCTGAGGCTGCCTGAGGATGATCCAGAGTGCCCGCTCCTCTACAGCCCAGGGGCTGCTGGGATGAAGCACATCAAAGGGAACCGCTTGCAGAAGACAGACTCTGGGCTGGACAGTGGCCAGAAGATGACTAAGCTGGGTGTCATAGCCGGGCCCTTCTTTGAATTTGATGCTGGATCTTGTGCTCACTCCTTTCTCCAGTCCAGCCTTGTCAACCCTACAGCAACGTAAAGGATGGATGTAACTTCAACCCCAGGAAAATGATTGAGGTTTCTTCCCAAGGCTGACACTCCCACCTCTGGGAGGTGCCCATTGCCAGGAAGGGCTAGTAGAAGGGGCAGCCAGTTCTGATATGGGACCCTCTTTTTCCATGCTTTCAGTTTCTCTCACAAGTGAATTGGAAGTCCATGTTGCTCTCCAAGTTTGCCCTTTCTCATCTCATTAGCACAGCCAGCTCTAAAGCAGCAGATTACCCAGCAATAAGGCAACTCCTGTTTACAGAGCCTCGAAGTCCAGGTGTCCTCACTTTGGTTAGACAGGGTAGTTCGCAATGGGAGGAAGGTGCCAGAATGCCTGTTCCATACTCTGCGTCCAACATTCATTTCTCTTGGTTGCATGCAGCTCTTGTCTAAGGACGAGGGTGACACATTAAGTGCTGGCTCTTCCCCAAATGTCATAGAAGACAGAAGTTGTCTTATTCTGACTCCATGCACTCAGCAGTCCCTTCAGACGATGAGGGCCATGCCTGAATGCCCGTGTTCCCAGGCTGCAGGGCAAATGTAGCTGTCATAGGAAGGCCCTGCACTAGCCAAGCTGCATGTGTCACCCCAACTGCGATCAGGGAATGTTCTCATTTGAGCAATCTGCTACAGATGATGGCACTTTGGAGGATAGCCCCAAACTGTGTGGTCACTGCAGAGTGAACACATATCCCCTCCAAATACTGAAAATGAAATACTTAGCCCAGGCTCACTAGGGAAAGGAAAGCTCTACTAGAAATAGTTCTGATCAATTTCACAGCTCAAATCAATCTGTGGGAGATTGCCTGCAGATATGGAAAGAGCTAGATGGCTTTTCCTTGGGACTTCTTAAAGTGTTCCTTCCAGAAGGATATGATTCCTTCCAGAGGGATATGATGTCAAGCCTGAAGAGCCCTCCCTAGGTCCATCTCTGCCCCCGGGGATTGTTTTGGGCTTTTCAACTGCCCCAACATGAGCTTCCAGGTTCCTAATGGCTTCTAAAGATTTCCCCCTCCAAAACAAATGAAGCCCTGCTACCATTCAACTTCTTTCTAGTCCAAGACTATTTCTGTAGGAAATGTATTCATCTCCTAACTCACTCCAGATAGCCAAGAACCATATGCGCAGAACTGACAGCAGGCAGAGGTGCCAGACAGGTGGTAGGTAAGGTCTTGCTCTCAGACGCTCCTGCCCCAGCTCAAGTCGGCCCAGTGCACCACCTCAGGCTGGCCCCTCAGCCACACAGCCTCCCTTGAGCCTCGCTTATGCCTGCTACTTCTGTTCTCTCTCTCCCTTCTTGCAGAGAGACAACAATGCAGTGGGCCTCCCTCCTGCTGCTGGCGGGACTCTGCTCCCTCTCCCAGGCCCAGTATGATGAAGACCCTCACTGGTGGTTCCACTACCTCCGCAGTCAGCAGTCCACCTATTATGACACCTACGAGCCGTACCCTTATGAGCCTTACGAGCCTTATCCCTACGGAGTGGAGGAAGGTCCAGCCTATTCCTATGGCTCTCCGTCCCCACCAGAGCCCCGCGATTGCCCCCAGGAGTGTGACTGCCCCCCCAACTTCCCCACGGCCATGTACTGTGACAACCGCAACCTCAAGTACCTACCCTTCGTCCCCTCCCGCATGAAGTACGTCTACTTCCAGAACAACCAGATCTCCTCCATCCAGGAGGGTGTCTTCGACAACGCCACCGGGCTGCTCTGGGTTGCTCTCCATGGCAACCAGATCACCAGCGACAAGGTGGGGAGGAAGGTCTTCTCGAAGCTGCGGCACCTGGAGAGGCTGTATCTGGACCACAACAACCTGACCAGGATGCCCGGTCCGCTGCCTCGATCCCTGAAGGAGCTCCACCTTGAGCACAACCAGATCTCCCGGGTCCCCAACAACGCTCTGGAGGGGCTGGAGAATCTCACGGCCTTGTACCTCCAGCACAATGAGATCCAGGAAGTGGGCAGTGCCATGAGGGGGCTGCGGTCACTGATCCTGCTGGACTTGAGCTACAACCACCTCCGAAGGGTGCCTGATGGGTTGCCCTCAGCGTTGGAGCAGTTATACTTGGAGCACAACAACGTCTACAGCGTCCCTGACAGCTATTTCAGGGGCTCCCCCAAGCTGCTGTATGTGCGCCTGTCCCACAACAGCCTCACCAACAACGGGCTGGCCTCCAACACCTTCAACTCGAGCAGCCTTCTTGAGCTTGACCTCTCCTACAACCAGTTGCAGAAGATCCCCCCAGTCAATACCAACCTGGAGAACCTCTACCTCCAAGGCAATAGGATCAATGGTGAGACCTTGGCACAAGGGTGGGAGAAGGGCTGTCATTTTCACCTGAAAGAGCCTGTTCTGAGTGTCCAAGGAGCCCTGGTGGTGTAGAGTAGTAATATGTCATACTGCAAACCATACGTTGATGGTTCAAATCAACCCTTAGGGGGAAAGATGAATATTCCCCTCTGGTAAACATTTATTGTTGTTGTTAGGTGCCATCAAGTCAAGTATAACTCATAGCAACCCTATGATCTGAACACTATTCTATAACTATCATCATTCCTCTAGTGTTCATAGGATTTTCAAAGGGCTTTTACTTAAGAAGTGGATGCCAATCTTGCTTCCAAGTCTGTCTTAATCTGGGAGCTCTACCAGACCCTGTTCACCATAGGTAACCCTTATGTCATTGACACAGCAGTGACTCAGCATTCAGTATCACAGCAACCCCAAGTTATATCAGTACAGCAACCCCAAGTTATCTCAGTACAGCAAACTGACAGACAAATGCTGTACCACTTGAAGCAATGTTCTCCTCAAACACAATCAACAGCCTACCTTCCAGAATCCCACAGGAGCCTCCAAATAATTTACAGCCTTAGAAACCTGATAGGTCACTACAAGTCAGAACCAACTCAATAGTAGTGAGTATCCTGAGGGCTGGCTGGGGAGCCCTGCTGGTGCAGAGAGCTATGTGTTGAGCTGCCAGCTCAAAGGTCATCAGTTCAAATCCACCAACTACTCTCCAGGAGACTCTCCAGAAGACATATGGGAAACCTCCTATACTGAGGATTTATAGTCTCAGAAAACTGATAGAGGGGCCTCAATTGGCTTGACGGCAGTAGGTTTGAGATTTTAGGAGATATAGTGCAGACTATCTTTAGATTTTATTTCTGTATATCTAGGCAACTATTAGAAATGAAGAAGAAGAGAAGGAGGAGGAGGAAGAGGAAGAGGAGGAGAAAATAATATCAAGGCTTCCACCTGCACTGGATGTAAAAATAGTACACACTTAGAGCACTTAGAGGTGCTAGGAAAAGTCACGGAGGAGCGGGCTGGTATGGGAGAAGTCTGCCTTCCCAGAAGTGGTACGTTTCAATCTAGGTCTTGAGAAAGAGGTAAACACAGATTAAAGGAAAACAGGGCAAAGCCATCCTGGGAAGAGAAATTACCACCGAGGAAGTCATCATCCAGCAGGTCACCTTTAGACAGCATCCAGGAAATGTGTCTTAGGAGGAGTCCTGTGTTGCTAGGTGCCATCAAGTCAACTGCCTTTCATAGTGACCCTATGAACGGCAGATGTCAACCTTGCCCTAACCTGTGCCATCCTCACCACCTCCAACATGATCGAGTCCTCTGTTACCATGCCAAGCTGTCTTGTTGGGGGTCTCTTCTCTTTCTCTGACCCTCCACCTTTCCCAACAGGATGTATTTTTCCAGTGACAGGTCCCTCCTGACAACATGCCCAAAGTATTTAAGGCAAAATTTCACCCTCCTTGCCTTTAAGGAGCACCCTGGTTGCTATTCCTCCAAGATGGGACTGTTTATTCTTTTGGAATCTCATGGGATATTCAGTATTCTCTAACACCACAACTCAAAGGCATTGATTCTTTTTCCCTCATCATTATTCATTAGCCAACTTTCAGATGCATGGCAAGCACTTGTAATGCCCAGGACTTGAATTAGGTGCAGCTTAGGCTTGTGTTTTGGGGCAGCAGAAGATGATTTTGGAGAGGCCTGGGAGGGAGCAGTTAACAAGATTTAGGGATTTAATTTTAACTTCTAAAAAGGAAGGTGGGCAGCTGACAAACTGTGGTATCTGCACGTTCTTACTGACCCAGGAGAGGATGTTCCTCATGGTCCCTTCCTGCCTCTGCAGTTTGACCTTATGTTTGGGCGTTTATTTGTTTTTTCAAAAATAACAGCTGGTGGAGAAAAATGTGCGACTCTCAGAGCTGAATGCCACACTTGTCCGTGTCTGTTCTCACTGGAGTACAAGGAGTCATTGGTGGTGGGGTAGAGATTCTCCCAGGACAATGTGGGCCTGACTACCACAGAGCATTGAGGGCGGGGGGGGGGGGGTGTGAACCGAGCTTTGAATTGTTCAAGCATTTCCAGAAAACGGCTAAAGGAACCAAAAAGGCTGCCTCTCTGCCTCAGAGAACTAACAAATTCACATCCGATGGAATGATCTGGTTGCTTTTCTGCTCTCTGGGTCTTGTTTTCAGACAGCACGTACATTACCCCAGGGCATCTGATGTCTTTATCCCAGTTGGAAGGTACTGAGCCAGCATTTAACCTCCCTTCTGCTGTCAGCAAGGTCCTGTTCTCTCTGGGGTGAAGAGGACTCATTAATGACCACCAGCAGGCCCGGCTTTGAAGCAGAGCCTGCTGAGAGCAAACAGTAGCTTCAAAGCCAGAGAGGGACTGCACGTCGTCATTCCCTCCTTCCCCAGCCTCTCCCTCCCAAGTTCGGAGAACAGATCAGTCATTTAGCAAGATGTTAATGAGTTGGACAGCCCTGCCCAGCTGAGAGTGCCACCAAGCCAGGGGACAACCCAGAGAAGGTGACAGGGAGGGCAGTCTGGTCCTCCATTTACAAGTGTGAAGTCCATCATGTCCAGTCAGAGCCGGTTTTATTTACAGTCTCTCTGGAGTCTTCTTGGTCTTGGGTGATTTTTTTCCCTTCTCTGTTCTAAGATGTAACTAAGGTGTGATGTGCTACAAAGGGGTAGATATTTATTCACAGCTGCCAATCATTCCTCTGAGAAGTCACCACTCCTCACCTGCCTCCCATTCTGATCTCAGGAGACCTGTCACATCACAGATGTCACCATGTATGCCAAGCTCCGTCAAAGGGTGACCCTGAAATGTGACAGTGAAGAGCAGCTGTCACAGGAGAGGACACACTATTACCTCACTGTTATGATCAGAGGAACGTGTGTAGGTGAGGTTTCACCTAGGTGTCTTGTCACACCTCTGCCTCCACACACACCATGGTCGCTGGTCACAAAGCCAGGTGGTCCCTCTCTCCGGAGAGCACTTCTAAAATGTATCCTAATGTCTTACAAGAAACTTCTCCCTTCAACCAAACATCATAAACATTTCTAGTGTCTACTCCAAACCCCTTCATCTGTAGTTTCAGCCAAATCCCTTTTATTCTTCTCTTTCTGATTCATCTCTTCAGGCAAAAGAACCCCAGCTCCTTGCTTTTCGTAAACTAGTGAACGTGTAAAGTGCTTTGTCTGGTATAGTTCTATTTATATAACTAAGGACCCATGGTGGCATAGAGCATAATGTACTGGGCTGCTAACTCAAAGGTCAGCATTTCAAATCCACTAGCATCTCCAAGGGAGAAAAAAGATCAGTCTCCTTCTGTAAAGATTGACAACATCAGAACCTACAGATTGGATCACCAAGAGTTGGAATCGACTTAATGGCAGAGAGTTATTAGTATAATTGTTGTTGTTGTTGTTGTTATGTGTCATCGAGCTACCTTCAACTCATAGCGACCCCATGTACAATAGCTGTGAAACTTGCCCTATCCTGAGCCAATCTCAGTGACTCCAATACATCTACTCCCATCACCCCAGTTACTGTATCAATCCATCTTATCCAGGGTCTTTGATTGCCACTCTGTAGTTGACAGAATATTTTTTGTTATATGTTAAGGAAAATGGGATGCAAAAAAAGACAAATATCAAAGTCATCCAGAATATGTTATATAAAGCCCTGTCTTGATATCAAAGGACTCAACCTTGGAGGCAGTCCCCAGGTGGGTAGCTCAAATGGTTACATTCTCAGCTGCCAGTGTAAAGGTTGGAGATTAGAGTCCACCCAGAGATGTCTCAGAAGAGAGGCTGGCAATCTAGTTCTCCCTGACACACAGGCAGTCCCCGTGAGTCATAATTAACAGCATTGGGTAAAACCCAGCATCTCTGGCTGGATGGTGACATTCAGCTCTCTGATTTAGACATGCACTCCCCAAGCTCAGCCCGCACTCCTTTGCCAAAGGTGAGGATGTCTCCCTGCATTAGCAAGGCAGGGACTTGGGATAGTGGAGAGGAGATGAAGGCAGGATTGTAGCAACCCTGCAAGAGGATCGAAATGAACAGGAAGGAACTAAGGGGCATGGAGGGGGGCTAAGGCAGGGTCCTCTCCCTTCCCCTGCTTCATCCGTCAGTGTCTCCCTCACTTTTTCCAGCCTGGCAACAGCCAGGGAACAACACAGCTTGGAATGTTATTCTGAAGCTTTAGGATCCAGCGGAGCAGGGCGGGCATACCAGGAAGAGTTTGGAAAGACTTATGTCAGTATTTCATCTGGGCTGGAAAATATTCACCATTGCTTCCAAACAGAAGCCCTGTCCTATACGTGAGCCCAGGGAAGACAAACGGAGGCTAATGAGGCCTATGTGTGGATAGAATCTAGCCATGCTGGATATCTCGCTGCCCAAAAGAACATTCTATGGTCTATATATCCACAGCTGAGATCCAGGATTTTGTCCTTCAGGCTGAGATAGAGAATCTCTCACTGAACTTGAAGCTGAGTTTAAAAGCCAGACCTCTTCATTTCCTTCCCCAGACCTGATTGACCCAGTCTCTAGCCCCAGACATGCCCCCAACCTCTGGGGTCCAAAGCTATCTTAGCTCTTCCCAGTGACCAGAAGGGAAGCACCCAAATCTCCTCCCGCTTGTAGTATTCCCTCCAAAGAATGGTATTTCCCGGTCTCCCCGCCTCCCCTCTTCCCAATATCCACTTCTTCTCTGGACCTGAATAGTCTCTTATGTCTGAGTACAAGTTAATGTGTTGCGACTCCAACCCCTCTCATCTTGGTGAGGCCTTAAGGGAGCCTGTAAACAGTCACTTCTCAAATGTTCTCTTTTCTGAATAATTAATGCAAGTTTTAAAAACTTTTTTTTTACCAGCCTATTTAAGCTTCTTATCCAAAAATTCCTTGGGAATTTTTATTCCAAAATTTTTGAGGAATTTGCCAAAGGAAAATGTCCTTTGGGATTTTTCATGTGCATAATCTCCCCCAAGGAAACCTGGTGACAGTGTTTAAAAATACTGCCTAGTTGCTAACAGAAAGTTGGTGATTTGAACCAATCCAGGGCCTGTGAAGGAGAGACAGGGTAGTCAGTTTTCATTTAGATTACAATTTAGGAAAACCAGTGGGACAGTACTACTGTGTCCCACGGGCATATCATGAGTTAGAAGCAATTTGTTATTTGTTATGCATCAGAGAGCTGGACAGTGACTAAGGAAGACAAAAGAAGAATTGATGTCTTTGAACTGCGATGTTGGAGAAGAGTCTTGAACATACCATGGACTGCTGGAAAAACAAATAGTTCTATCTTGGAGAGGGTGAAACCAAGTCTCTCCATGGAGGTGAGGATTTTGAAGTTCCACCTCATGTACTTTGGGCACATGGCCAGGAGAGAAAGATCCTTGGAGAAATACATCATGCTCGGAAAGGTGGTGGGACAGCACAGGAGGAGAAGACCCAGGGTGAGATGGATTGATACAGTACTTAGGGCAATGGGGTTAGGTGTGTTGGAGTCAGTAAGACTGCCTCTGGACAGGGCAGGCTTCAGGGCTGTTGTACATAGGGTCGCTGTGAGTCGTAGGCATTTAACAACAGCAATAAAAATCTCCCCCATGGGGGAGCCTCTGAGGCATCCCCAGGAAAATAATGAAGAAAGCCTGCCTCCCACTTCTACCCAGCTCCACACTGGAGTAGAGCTCCTGACCACACTGTAAATTAAGGAAGTAGGAACGAAAGCAAACCGCAGCCCCCAGACAGCCCAAGTACTGCAGTTGCTTGGGTCTCAGGCATGCAGCTTCCTCCCTCAGAACTCCATGAGTAACTTCTTCCTAATCCACTGGGTAGAGAATAACAGGAGGAATTTTCCTTGCAGTCCTCACCACATTGAAAGCACCCCCACAGAAGTCTCAGCAGCTTTCCAGTGGGGACTTCTGAGGTCTCTGCTTGAGTTTTAGCAAAGTTCTCAGGGCTTTTTTTTCCCTTTAAAAAAAATTCCTGACCCCATATAGACTTTAGATGGAGGTGGCTTGACTGATCCAAAAGAAGAACGAGTTTGTTTAATTGAAAACAACTAGCGTGAGAATTGGGTGGATGAGAGAGGGAAGATTTATTCTAAAATCAGGAGGGGGAAAAACCCACACCCTATTTCACTGCTAGAATTACATGGTTTAGGCGGGGGAACTGTTCAAAAACCGGCACTACTTTGGAGATATAAGGAAGGAAGTAAATGGTAATTATGTTAAATTCAGCAAGAGGAGGAGTTTTTTGCTTGATGTTTGAGGTCCACAGCAACCCCAGCTGGCTCTGAATTTCCAGTCTCTGTAACCTCTGTCACCTCTTTTGGCAGCTCTCAGCGTAATGGAGCAACTGGAGACGCGCAGCCACCTCAAAGCTCTGGTACTCAAAGACACTTGTCTCTCTGCAGAGGCTTTCACGCTTTAATTTCCTGCCACTTTTCCTTTCTGTGAAGTGGCCAGATTCAAATTCTTCCATTTCCCCAATCTTTCTTCTCAAAGCAATTCCTCCAAGAGCCCCCTCTTCAAAAGCAATATTAAAGCGCGGGGGTTCATCGTCAGCCGCCCTCTGCTTCCCCCTGCTGGCCACAGTCGGGAAACGAGCAGGACCTGGTGGGAAGGACGCTCAAGGGCATTTAAGGGTCCTGCAGAGTAAATTCTGGGAGCTGGGGAAAGTGGAGGGTCAGCGGAAGAGAGGAAGACTCTCAACAACGTGGATTGACACGGGGACTGCAGCAATGGGCTCAAGTATGTCAGAGATGATGAGGATGGCACAAGACGGGGCCGGGTTCAGACCTGATGTGCAAAGAGGCGCTATGAGTCCTACTCAGCTTGATGGTACACAACAACTGGTGGCCTAATCCGTAGGCAGTTGCGCTGCCAGCTCAAAGGTAGCGCCTCTCTGGCTGTTCGAATCCATCAGGCACTTAGCGGAAGGAAAATTAGCATCCTCCTCTCATGTGATTTTACAGCCTCAGGGAAACCCGCTGAAGGGTCACCTATGCCTCAGTTCCCATTTTAAGGCAAAGAGCAGAGTTGAATTTAATTGAGCTGAGCTGCAAAGCAACGCACAGCCTGGGGACGTGGTTAAGAGAGGGCTCTCTTTAACTCTCGTTCTACCCCTAGTGGTAAAAATCGTGGTATGACGCCTTTCGAAGACAAGCCAGCTCCCTCTAACTTCCCGAGCAGGACCCCTCTAAACAGCTTGGCAAAAGCTGTTAGACTTTGCTGTGACTCCAAGTGCCTGATCTGGGTTTTTCCCTCCCCACTTCCACCCCCTTGTCCCCTCAGAGTTCTCCATCAGCAGCTTCTGCAGCGTGGTGGACGTCATGAACTTCTCCAAGCTGCAAGTACTGCGCCTGGACGGGAACGAGATCCAGCGCAGCGCGGTGCCGGCGGACGCGCCCCTCTGTCTGCGCCTCGCCAGCCTCATAGAGATCTGAGCGGCCCTCTTACTGAGCGCCTCCAATGCCCCACTGCATTTGGCTTGATGGTTTGGTTTGGCTTTTGCTGGACGGTCTGGTACAAACCATGTGCCAGAACTCCACAGGTTCCCTCTTTATCCTTCTTCCCTGTAGGCAGGGTGAGGTGAGATCAAGGGTTAGACAGCCTTCGGCTAAGGAACGCAGGCGGAAAGTCTCCCGCTTCCAGAGGCAGGCGTGTGGTGGCGGGAATCCTCTCTGGTAGACGCAACCCCAGAAACCCCTCTGCAGTGATGCAGTTTGGGACTTGACCGTTACTTGGGCCGTGACCATACTTTGCTAGCAACCCCTGATCCATTCGGCGAGCAGCTTGGCAGACTGTCCACATGCTGGGGCTGGTGTCGTGGGCCTCCTGGGCTGCCCTGGTTGCTCCTCAGAATATTACCTCTTACCCAGCTGCCTTCACCTGAATCCATCTCGCCCACTCAGCTTTCCTTCACAGACACCTCTTCTGTGCCTTAGGCAGAGGCAAGAGATTCCAGGGCTTATGGACCTGAGCCCAAAAACCTGTGCAGAGAAACCCCCCTCACTTTTAGCTGAGGCTGAAAAGAGTCCAACAATTACTTCTGTGCCTCCCTGGCGTCACTTTCTGAAAGCCACTAGGTTGGATGTCACCAGCACGAGGGCAGTATTCATGGCTGATGTGCACTAAGCCAGTTTCCAACCCATTGCTGTTGGGTCTCTTCTGACACGTTGCCTTGGCCCCTCCATATGTTTCTGAGGTTATACACCTATGTGGGAGGAGACGCCCCCATCTTTCTCCCATGGTGGATTCAAACTGCCCACCTTCCCATTAGCAGGCTCAGATTATGTCATGAGGCTCTCTTCCACCAGCTGGACAGCTCTATGAAAGTGGATCAGACTTCCAAAGAGGATAGGCCAGCTTCAGTTGTCATCAGTATCCATAATGCAGGCAAACACATTCCCTGACCCAAGGAAGCAGCTCTGGAGTTTTGTGCTTGCCAATGCTAGCCCTGCATCTTCAATGGTGACAGCCAGGTGGTTTTCAAAGCATGAACAAGTTAGTCTGTCCCCTCTTTTGTTATCGAAGAAGAAAGCTCCCATCTCTAGATAGGAGAGATAAGCCGCAGCCAGCCCTGAATCTGTCTGAGAGCTTAGAGCAGAAGGGTGTGGTTAATCAATAGCAAGTGATTTATCATGAGGCCAGAGTTCTAAGTGTCAGCTCTGACAGCATGCGCTCACCGGGGTCCCGAAGCCCAAGCCAGACACTCTCCATGCCCAAGCTGGGCCTAAACCCTGTGTTCTCACATCTCTGAATGTTACCCTCAGCACTGAAGATGCCTATTGCTTGACAGCTGGAATGGAATGAGTCGTATCCATTTTGGAAAGGTAATGTTGCCTAGCTCACCTGCTCTTGGCAGCTGGGGACAAGGATTGCTTGAGGAGCATTTGCCCGAGCCTGGTTCCTGCCTAGCTGCCATTAAGTCCTTGATAATCATTTATGCTTTGGAACTGCTTCCCTGAGAAGGTTATGGAGGAATTCTTGGACTTATGTTCTTGGCTCCAGACCCTGAAATCCACAAAAGCCAAACCAGCTCATTTCAACAAATAAGCTCTGACTTGAGGGCCAAAGCTGCCCTCTGCTTGAGGGCTTTCAGAAAGCGTCTGCATGTGGACACCATCATGCCGCTCACTGTACAGCATCCTTATTACAGGGGAAGCATGAATGGTGCCTAACCTGACCAATAAAGGTATCTTACAATTGCATTGCATGAATGGTGTCATTAAGAATGGAGTCATTCCCCTCCAGTCGACTGTAACTCATGGTGGTGACCCACCCATAGCACAGACAGAAAAGAAACCATCACAGAATCTGACTGTCACATTTTTCTCCTACTGAGCAGCTAATGTGTTCCAACTGCCCAGTTTTCAATAAGCAGCCCAGCATTTAACTGCTGCGCCATCAGGGATCTTTAAGGAGCACCACTAGACTCAAAGCCTGGCTGCCATAACCAAAGGTTGATTGCTTGAACTTATGCAGCAGCTTTCTAAGAAATATACCTGAAATTTTGCTCTGGTAAAGATTACAAGCCTCCAAACCCCATGGTACAGATCTGTCCTGTCACATGGGGTCACTATGAGTTAAAATCAACTCAACAGCACAAAACAACACAGGAGGATTCCTTTAGAGGGACCTAGAGGGGTCACATGGTGAGCTCTGGGGATCTAGCGTTAAGAAACGGCACTGTAATACCGAAAGCAGGCAGTTCGAATCCATAAGCTGCTCCAAGGGAGAAGGACAGGCACTCTCCTCCCATGCCTCTGAAGCCTGCCTGAGTGCCAGCTATGGGTGGGTTCAATGGTACATAATAAGAGGGGTTCACACAGGCCTCAGACTTAAAGAACCCTCTTTCTTATCCACTCTGTTCGGGCAGATATGGCTATGGCATAATAAAAACATAACCTGCGTAAAAGGGAGTCAGATCTTAATCCTTTTCTTATCAGTTAGACTGACATTTAACAGATTTTGTGCTCTGAAATTTCTCCTTTAACTTCAATCAAACTAAGCACACATTCCCTACCATTTGGTCTCCAAGGGATTAAAAAAAAAAAAAAACAACCAACAAAAACAAACCAAAAGTCTGTTTTGTTTTGTTTGAATCATTCTAACTTCTCCCACGCCCAGCCCCCCCCCCAACCATCTCTCAGCTTCAAAATTCCGGATCTGACTGGTCCTGGGGATTCTTGTCTTAACTGCTCCTGCCCCCTAGTGGCAGAGGCGAGCACAGCAAAGCCCAGTTGGTGCAGGAAGAGAGAAAAAAAGGGTTCTTTCATCCTCAGTGTACACTTCTTAATCGCCTTAGTGTGTCAGACACTGTGGTAGGTGATTGGCAAATGTGATGTGAGGCTTGTGCTTTTGAGTGTTGTACCGTCAAGTCCACTCGGAGCTGACCCTCCTGGGGGTGTTCAGAGGCAGTAAATCACTCCAGAAGAGATTGCCCAACTTTCTCCCACTGAGCAACTGGTGGATTAAAACCTTTTGCCTTTGTATTGGCAGTGCACCCCCTTACCACTAAGCCACTATGCTTCTAGTACAATCTACCACTTTCTGAAGTTAATTCCTGTGATGTTAGCCTTAAAGTTGGCTGCTGGGGTTTTGTTTGTTTGTTTTGTTTTGTTTTTTAAGCCATTACAGTTGGCCCCTCTGGTCTCCAGCTACTCAACTGCAAGACACATGTTCTTACAAATCAGCAACAGCTGGAGGATCAATATAAAGAGCGCACTGTCCACAGTGGCAGGGGGTGGGGCAGGAAGACCAATGCAGAAGCAGCAGTGCAAATGTGTTTAAGAATCTCACTGCTTCCAGTCTGTACAAAAAATCCGGCCTGTATACCTACAGTCATGTGAGTCATTCCCCTGAAGAGTCTGAGGACCTTCTAGCAAATCATCAAACCACCAGGCCTTAGAGGAATTGGGGAACTGAACCCAAGATGGAGCTGTTAATAGAAACTATGGACTTACACAGTGGGTTAAGTATTTGAGATTGCATTGATCTAAGGCTTCTGATAAACAATCTACTATTAATCTTAGCAGGGCAAATTCTTTTTTTTTTTTTTTTTTTTTTTGGTTTTTTACAAGATTGATTTATTGACTGTGGTACATATCACATAAGGCCTTTTCAGGTTTGTTTTTTCTTTTTTTTTACACCATTCCCATTGAGACAAGTACAATACTTTGTAGCAAATACATTTTAAAAAACAAAACCAAACGCAAAAAAAAAAACCCACCTCAGCCGAGATGCCACAGCCTTGTCCCCGGCCGCCCATGCACTAAATTGGGTTTGGGGCCTCGACAAACCCACAACGTAACCAAAGAAAATGCTGGAAAGTAAACTGACATTCCTAACACAAACTAGAGATGTGAAGGCCTAACGTACAGAGAAGGAACTCTTATACTCCCTTTACAAACACGTCTCCACTTTTGCTGAGAAAACAGAATTGTGGGGCACACGGCCAGACTACGAACACATTATTTTTTTTTAATACCATTGATATGCTTTCCCCTTTAAGGAAACTCAAAATAGTTAATTCAACATATATAAAGTTCATTTAGACATGTGAAAATACAAGTACCAGAAAAATAAGCTGGCAGCAGCACTATTCCAAATTTTCAAACAAGTTTTATTCCCATATAATTCCGACATTGCCTTTTTTTTTGTTTAATGTACACAAGGGAACATGATTCTTTTATAATAAAACAATAACTTAGGCCCTGTCTTGACTACATGGAAAGTGTAACGTCATTGCTGTTGGGCAGAGGCCGCTGGGGGCCCAGCCAGGACAGGGACGGGCCGCAGCCAGCCTTCCCTCCTCTGGTCTCCTGGTCAGCACGCCTGGTCTCTGGCACACGCACACACACATGCCTCAGCCTGTCCCCTCCCACTAGGAGCTTGTACCTGCCAAGCAATAGGGGTGATGCTAGCAGGGCAAATTCTAAAGACACTACCCTATTCATGGCCTCTGAGCATAACTGGCTCATAGCAGACCCTTTAGTGGGACTCTCTAATGTCTTTTCAGAGGCTGTAAATCGCACAGATGGAAATGGAAATCATCCACTGGGCTGCTGGAGGCTTCGATTTGCCAAAGAGGTGTGATCATTGTGTTAGCAGTGCAAATCTCTATGGACAGCACAGAAGATCTCCCTTCATTTTCTGATAGGAAAATGACAAGAATAGGGGGCTTCAGTGGTGTAGTCCATTAAGTGTTGGGCTGTGAACTAAAAGGTCAACAATTCAAATCCTCCAGACACTCTAAGAAAGAAAGACCACCAGATGCTTTGCTGGAGAAGGAGAACAATCTCCTCCTGTACCAGTCAGATCTGATTTGACGGTACACAAAAAAATAATGAAATAAAATAAATTTGAAAAGATGAAATACTTATAAAAAAAAAAGAAAGAAAGGGAGTCTCCTCCTTTGACTATTTATAGCCTCAATGTAAATCAACTTGATAGCAGTAGTTCAATATTTAATGAGCATGTGCACCTGATTCAGGCCATGGTCTTTTCAGTCACTTGCTACGCATCTGAGAGCTGA